AAGAGGAATAGTGGGTTGCCCTGTTATGGTCTTGCACAAGAATGTGAGGATTGGGCTGGGCTCCTCTCCTGAGACCCTGCTCACAGCCCTTCATGCCTGAAGCCAGCTGATGTCACTCAAATTGGGAGCACTCAGGACCAAGGCCTAAACGTCTTCTTTCCCCTGAAGCACAGGGATAGCTCATGTGGCTTAATTATACCATTCAAAAGCCAGTGAGCTAAGAGAGGAAACTGCAGAAGACAGGCCTGTACCTGGTGATCAAGTGTAATCAGTTGCCAACGTAAGATTTCAGGCATTTACCCAGGTGCTTGGGGGAGGAGACACAGCAATTATGGTCTTCCTTGTCCTTCCCCTTATTTTTCTGATTCAAAAACCAGTCATCACAGAATCTACAGGGATTGGCAGCGTGCTTAAGAGGGATAAGATGGGAGAGGGAGAATTCATTTTGAAAATTACAGTCATTCCTGAGACAGGGAACTTTGGTGACTTTCAGGCAGCGGCTCCTTAGCAGTGAAGCCTAAAATCCCTTCTGAGTTTCTAGCCTGTGTTGTGGCCTGAGGCCAGCAGCCACGTTTCCCCACCAAATGCATTTTACTATGTTAAAAGGATGGTTCTGAGTAGTCACTGAAGTTAACTGCATGATTAAGCTTGTACAAAATCATTTTTATGCAGTAAGGGATTGGGAAAAAATTGTCCCTGTGAGTCACAAAAACAGAAGAAATTACTGGAGCACTCTGTAGCCAATATGTCAGACTGGTGATCTGACAACATGGCATTTTAGAATTTTGAAATTCAAATTACTTCTTTTAAATATTCCGAAAATAAAAGTATCAAATCCTGAAATAAATATTGGAATGTGAATCAGAAATATAACTTTGCCTAAGGCAAGTAAAAGCTTTTCAGTTTATGAGTTAAAAAAAAAAAAAAAAAAACAACTACACATATTGACCTGTGGTCTGGTTGAGAGAAATGGTAGACTGGTTAGAATACGTGTTGCTTGCAAGATGAGAGAGTGTAAAGAACAGTCCTCTCCTATGTCACTGCTTTAAAGGCAAACCAAGTACTGAAATCGAATTCTAGATTGACGAAGCTGGAAGGGAATTCAGAGATGACCCAACCCCTTGTCTTATAACAGGGGGCACGGACTGGCCAGCATCTCAGGGCTGGTGAGCAGGCCCTTAGACCTCGTGCTCGGTGTGGGGCACTCACACCCTGACTCCTCAGGACGCGAGTGCGATCGAGACCAGCGGGGTTCATGTTTTGTATATAAACTGAAGCTTTGGCTGACACAGAGGTAGGAGGCACAGCATGGAATCAGCAGTATGTTTCTGCGAGTGATTTTTTTTTATAACAGCTTTACTGAGATATAATTCACATACCAACAAAGTTGCCCTTTTAAAGTATACAATTCAGTGGTTTTCAGTATTTCACAGAGTCACACAACCGTCCCCACAATCTAAAGTTATAACATTTCCACCCCCTCCAAAAGAAACCCCAGGCCTATTAGTGGTCACTTCCCATGACCCCTTCTACAAGTCCTCAGCAACCATCAATCTACTTTTAGTCTTTATAGATTTGCATATTCCGAACATGTCATATAAAGGGAGTCATGCAATATGTGACCTTTTGCATCTGACTGCTTTCACTTTCATAATTCATCCATGTTTTCAGATTCATCCATTTTATAGAACATTTTAGTACTTCATTCTTTTTATAGCCAAATAATATTCCACTGTATGGCTATACTACATTTTGTTTATCCACTTTCAGTTGATGGACATTTGAGTTGTTTACCCTTTTTGGCTATTATGATGCACATTTGATTTCTTTCAAGTTTTTGGTTATTTTGAAATAATGCACTACAAGCATTTGTTTACAAGTTTTCATGTGGACATGCATATTCATTTCTCTTCTCTAGCATAGTGCTGGGTCATATGGTAACTATGTTTAACTTATTGTGGATCTGTCAGACTGTTTTGCACAGTGGCTGCACTATTTCACGTTCCCATGAGCAGTGTATGAGCATTCTGATTTCCCCACGTGCTCGCCAATAATTGCTGTGGTCTTTTTATTTTAGCCTTCCTAGCGGGCGTTGCTGCCCTTGACTTTTAACCTTGTGGCACCTTCCATACAATGAAGTGATCTGTTTACTTTATGTCCACCTCTACATTGTAAGCTCCCAGAGGACTGAGAATGCATCTTCATATCCACAGTCTCCCACCTTAAATGTTTATTGAGATGAATCAAATGCTGCTAAACCCGTGGTTTTTCAACATTTATATGTGCAGCCAACATTTGCCTCTCAACGGCATGTCAGGTTCTGTGCTACGAAGAGGAATAAACCACGGCTCTTGCTTCAGATAGGTTGGACTATTAGTGTATTTAGAGAAGAGAATGCAGGTGAAGAACAGGAAGTTTCAATGACTGATTAGGAAGTACATATTTTAAAAAGTAGAAATTAACTTTTAATTAATTTGGCAAAACCAAAAATACAAGGTGCATTTCCCTGGTTGTGGCCACGGAAGCAGTGGTGCTGAACCTCGCACACCATGAAAGCCAGTCTCTTCCTGAAGCTGGGGGACAGCCTAGAGTTGCTGAGCCCTGTGCCAGCCTGAGCTCCTGCCAGGGGCGGACGCAGGCATCCTCAAGCCTCATGTCCCTCTGCTTGTTCAGAGGCTGCACCCAGGTTTGGGTCCATCTGCACACTGCAAACACACAGATGCAGAGGGCCCTCCCCTGCCACCCGAGACTCCACCTAGACCAGGACCTCACATGGGGCTGTGCCCGAGGAAAATGAATTCACTGCCCGATGAAGAACTGGTCTGTGGTTCCCAGAGGATTTCGAACATTTCCCCTTCTCTGCCTCACCTTGTTCCATTGCCTGTCCCTGGATTGCCTGTTTCACCACAGTTAGGATGACCATATACTTTACCAGCTAAACTGGGACACTTCTGAGAGTAAAAGATGATACTACTAATAATTATGCCAGGACATCAGGCAGAAACTGGGACCATCCAGGGCAAACCAAGGCATGTAGACGCCTACCCCAGCACCACACCTCTGTTCTGTCCTCTGGGGAAGATTCTGTCTCCCTGCTCCTGTCCTCCGTAAGAGGATCTGCTCTGTCCTCCTCTGCCCTAGACACACACTGGGGCATTCTGCCTCGTGTCATCACTGGGTTCCTTGCCTGTCCTCCTCACCAGGTCAAGGGGCTTAGCACTCAAAAGATGCTTACTACACTCTCATGAAATCAAGGAAATCCTGATTTGAGCATCACATACTGCACACAGGTATTGATGTTCAACTCTGTGCCCCACAGATATGTACAATCAACTGTTTCAAAAAGAAAGAAACTGAAGAAATCCTGTTCACTGAAAATCAAAGGCCAGAGCTGGGCTAGAGTGAAGCCTCACCCGGGCGCCGAGGGTCCTGGAAGAGCAGATCACAAAGGCCTCTCCTCAAGGCCTTGTTATCTTTCCTTCCACCCTTGATTTTGCCACACAAAGCTCAGGATGTCGATATCCAGTAAACTTCTGTGCATGGACAAACATCTATATGTGTTCCAGTTGTCTAGAACTTTCCAGGGATCCTAATAAGCATAGATATCAAAATGCCTTTTACCAGGCCTTGCAAGGGAGCATCTACAGTGAACATGTCTATGGTTCAGAACTGTGACTTTCCGATTCATTTCTAACTCAAATCCTTATCAGTTTGATTTCTTCCAATTAAGACCTTCATTTGGCATAATTGCTTGAATAGAAACAGCATTCAGATATTACAGAGCTGACATTCTGCCTGTTTTCCAGGATCAGTACAAGTTCTGCTATGAGGTGGCCCTGGAATACTTGAATTCTGGCTGATGGCGTAAACAGCTCCGCAAACAAGTGCTTTCATACCACAAAGCCAAGACGTTCCATGGTATTTGTGCGGACGAGATGAAGACTTCTCAATATGCTTACTCTGCTTTGCATAATTGGCTCTTTTTAAGAGCCCAAGAAAAGGTTTATAAAACTGCTTGCACTGCCCAGTTCCCAGTAATGCTGCTGCCTGACACACACACACACACACACAGCATAAGGTTGTCAAATACTGTACTCCTGGTCACCGGCTTGTTAGAGCAGCGTAGACGGCTGGGAAATTGAAGAGCACAACTATATTCTTATGAAGGAATTTGTACCTTTGGGGTAATATTTTGTGGCCCGTGACCTTTTGTTATTGTTACAGCTGAGTGTATGTTTTTGTTCCGTGGAGAATGCTACTTGGCATTATGATAATATATTATTTTAGTTAATAATTGTACTGTAACACGTTGCATAATACAAGCTTATGTAGCTTTCCAGGACTAACAGATAAACATGTAATGAACAAAGATATGTTGTATAAGTTGTTGTTTCTATCAGATTTGTATTGTTTCCAGAGGAAAAGCTCGGGAAGACTCAGTTCCAAAATGCAAAACAATCAGACTCACAGATCCAAAGCTTTTCCATGTGTTTATATTGTAAATATTTTTGATTTCATCAAATTATTTATTCATTAAAAGAAATTTTTGTGAAGCACAGTGAGTGACAATCATTTTTATTAAGCCCTGGAAATGATTTACTGTATGATGTTACCTTGTGTGGATTCTCAACTCAATAAATGGTGACCCGTGAGCAGTCGTGTGTTCCTGGTGTCCCAGCACGCGGGTGGCACAGCCGGCACCTGTCACACCAGACCACTGGGGCAGAGAGTGCACCTGGGCCTGTTTGTCTGGAGCAGTAGATTTGGATTTCTGAGAGAGAATTTCGTTGGTGAGAGCTCCAAGCCCATCATGGTCACCTGCCCCCAGTGCTGAGAACATGCCATGGGGGCCGCCATGGGCGTAAATTGTGTGACCTTGCAGGGCAGGCTGGGCGAGGCACCAGGGCAGGGACTTTCGGTCCAGGAACAACCTCTTCCTTTCGCTGTTTCACTTTAGACACTGCGGGATAGTATGTCCTCTCCAAGCATCATTCAAACTTCAAACTTGCTGAGAGAACACCAGGGCAGGGACTTTCGGTCCAGGAACAACCTCTTCCTTTCGCTGTTTCACTTTAGACACTGTGGGATAGTATGTCCTCTCCAAGCATCATTCAAACTTCAAACTTGCTGAGAGAACACTTTTTTTTAAGGGCTATAGAATCAGAGGAGTGCATTTCAGCAGGACACAGAACTGAGCAAGACTGCACCTGCCAGAGGGAAGATCACCAGGCAGAGGAAGGTCATGGGCCAGGTGGCCTGCTCCATGCTGAGGGCATTGACCTCTGAAGCAAGAGGCAGGTGTGCTGTGGACTTACTTAGACTTAAACTGAGTTTCAGGCTCTGTTCAGTGATTACCAATAGCTGATGGAGACAAACCTCTGTTGAACACCAGTTCTGTGCCAGATGCTGGAAAAGGCACTTTCCCATGTGGTGCAGGTCCTCCCCACAATGTGATCTTGCTATAATTATGAATCCCACTGACAGATGACACTCAGGTTAGAAAAGATAAATGACTTCTCTGAAGTCATACCAGCAAGCAGCTACCAGATGCCATCAGAGCCTACAGGAGGTGGAGAGACAGCAGCAGTGTATCCCTGGCCCATATTACGACAGACAGGTGTAGAAAAGTCCACTCGTGCTGAGACAGGGAGGCTGCACCCATCACCCACTGGAAAGTGAGGAGGCTTGAGGGTGTCATTCCTGCCTGCTCTGGGGATCTTGGTGACCAAGGACAAGAACAGAGGTTGTCCACCAAGAGGACTGAAGTTAGCATCTGCATCTTAGACCTCCGCTACCATGCTGCATGTACGCTGAGCATCTTAGACCTCCGCTACCATGCTGCATGTACGCTGAGCATCTTAGACCTCCGCTACCATGCTGCATGTACTCTGAGCATCTTAGACCTCCGCTACCATGCTGCATGTACTCTGAGCATCTTAGACCTCCGCTACCATGCTGTATGTACTCTGAGCATCTTAGACCTCCGCTACCATGCTGTATGTACTCTGAGCATCCATACACCCTGATTGTCATATACTTCCCCAGGCCCCTCCTGAAAGTGCATGGGGCTCTCCCCACCCTCGGGAAGAGCTGGCTGGGGCTGAGCCTCGAATCTACACTCAGTGCCTCGCACTTAGGCTCCTCTGGAGAATGGCCTTTAACCATCCCCACCCAGCTCTCTTTGATGAGCTCCTGAAAGATTAAAAGGCTATTATTTTTGTCTGTGCTTTTTCAAAATGATTTCTCCAGGATGGAAGAGTAGGGGGAAGTACATACGGCCAGCTACACCCACTGTGGGCGAGCTAGGCCTTGACAAGGGCCATGTGGTGGACCCCAGCCTCCCCTCCATGATACCACGGCTCTGGGTGCCATTCCCTCAACCTGGTGAAAAGAGAAGTCATCTTAGCATGGTGTTGAAGTGTCATGATATTTGTGAGTTTAATGACACGACCCATAATGCAGTCAATCCTGCATCTTCAAACTACCATCTCACATTGTTTTGTTTGTTTTTATTTTTTTTTTACATTCGAAGACATTGCAGAGCAGTTAGGGGGGAGGAAGGGGAAAGGGGAGGGAGATAGGGTGAGAGGAAGAGGAAAGGGGGGTGTGGTCAAGGGCCGTGGCACCGCCCCCCATGCCAGCAGGGGAGCCCTGGGGGCTTCTGGCAGTGGCTCAGTGGTCATCGCTAGGCTGGATGCGGACATCAGACGGCTGTGGCTGAGGTCCTCGACCCCCCACCACCCCAGCTCAGGAGCTCAGGGTGCTTCCAGCAGCATCCTGGTGGCCATCGCTGGGCAAGATGCAAATGTCGGGATTGCATGGCTGAGGCCCTCAGCAACCCACCACCCCAGCTTGAGACACTGGGCTACTTCCAGCAGCGGCCTGGTAGTCATTGCTAGGCTGGATGCAAACATCAGGGGGGCATTGCTAAGGCCCTTAGCCCTCCCTCCACCCCGGCTTGGGAGCTGGGGGGGCTTCCAGTCCTTCTAGGTTTTATGGGTGTTCTTTGGTGGTGCTAGACCTTTACTGGTTAATTTCACAACTTTGTCTACGATCCGTGGGTACTTCGTTCTTTCTTCCAGTTATGTCTTAGATTATTTGCTGTTCCCACCACTTAAACTCTGCACTGGAACTAATCTGTCATCCTTTGCTTACTTCTAAAATGAGGGGACTTCCTGTGGGAACCAGCACTTGAGCCCTGTGGTTGAGCTAAATTGCTGCTTTGCTGCTGATTCCCTGAGGAAGGCTTTTTGTGCAGCTCAGGTGTTAATTGTTGACCTTGCAAGCACTTCCAGGTCCTGTGAAGTCTGGTACACCCGGGTTGTGTGGAAACTCTGGTTTGGGCCTGAGTGTTTTCAGCAAACTGCACACCCTGCAGTTCTATGTCCCTTACCAGTCTCCACTGAGTGGGCCTGCACTTACTGTGGGGCAGATCAGCTGTCCATGATGTGCCCCAATGTTCCCCTGGTGGGCCTGTCTCCCCCACACCCACACTCCAAACACTTCCCATGGGTTAGGACATGCACTGGTCCCTTGGGATGATTCACTGGCCTGTGAGTGGCTGCTTTTTTCAGTTGTCTGTGGCCTCTTGCTCCTATGTGGGTCCACAGAAACCCTGTCCATGGTCTTGCTGCCCTGGGGGTCACCAAGGCCCTCTTCTCCCCTGCCACTCCAAGTAACTTCATACACGGGCACAGCTGTGGCTTTTGCCAGCTCCTGCTCTGTGTGCTCACCAGGGCCAGGCTTGAAATGGCTGGGGCTCAAAATTGTCAGAGTGGTCCTTTCTTTCTCTCTGTGGCTTCTCCTGCCTTCACGAACTCCATAGGTCTCTTCTCTTCTTCCCCTGAGCTCTAGATGCACGATCTTGGAAGTCATTGCTTTTTAACGGTTGTAAATTGGTTGATTTGGGGAGAGGGAGATGCCGGGGACTGTCTATTCCACCATCTTGATCTGAAGTCAAAAAGAGAATATTTTCTCTCATCTCACATTGAACCCAATGGTTTCCTCTAGACTTTTGAATCTCTTGGATTTTTTTCTTTCTTTCCCTTGGTTTCACCTCTTAGCAGAAATAGTGCTAGA